CCAAAATGTTGGCTCAGAAACTCTGGCATTTGAAGCACGCAAGTCTTAAAGCTGTCAAGTTACAAGACCCTTGCGCCCCTAACCTTTTAGGAAAAAAACCAACACAGGGGTGTTCAAACTTGACAGCTTTAAGTCTTCAACTCCCAGAATTCCTCCTCTCGCTCTTCATCTTGATGATGTGCAGACGGGCGGGGGGGAGGGAGCTGGAACCGGTTCTAAATGGCACTGTAGATTTGTGGGACCTCTTCTATAGAAGAGGTTAGAACTGGCAGGAACCCACCCCTGTTTTTTATTTAGACCAAGGTTGTCCAACCTTGGCAATTTTAAAACCATGGCTGGCTGGAGAATTCTGAGAGTTGAAGTCTGCAAGTCTTAAAATTGCCAAGATTGGACAGCCCTGACTTAATACCCTGAAGCTAGAGAAAAGTTTTTGACAAGAAGACAATCTGTTGCTCTCTCTGATGGTTTATAAAGTAAGATATTTTTTTTAATGTTTTTGTGGAATGGTAACGGAAAATCATGTCTGCTTAAGCAATGTTCTAAAATTGGTTTTGAACATTTTTGCAGGTCATTACAAGGCTGGAGAACTTCCAAAGAATCCCCATTAATCCTTTTCTAAGATCAGCGCTGGTACAAAACGCGACTGAAAGGAGATAATTGCGGAACTTGGGGTGTGGCAAAAATGACTTCATACTGTATCCTTCCAGCATTTGCTTTGATGATTGGATGTTTAGCATTTCCAGGTAAGAGAAATTAATTTTATTTGGGCTTTAGTGTACCTTATGTAATGAGCACTTAGTTTGAAAAATGGCTTTTTAAAGAATCCCTGTGAAATATTTTGTTAATCGTCTATTGCATTGGCTAAAGGCGCACACATTCAAATTATACATATAATTTGAAATAACTGAATAATAGAGTTGGAAGGGACCTTGGAGGTCTTCTAGTCTGACCCCCTGTTCAGTCAGGTAACCCTACACCCTACACCATTTCAGGCAAACAGTTGTTAAAAACCTCCAGTGTTGGAGGCAAGTCGACTCACTGATTAATTATTCTAACTGTCAGGAAATTTCTCCTTACTGGATAACAGACAGTAATATTAAGAAACATATATTAATATACAACAAAGTGCATAGTCTGATTCCCTAGAGAACCTTGGTTATGACCCCCAGGATCCTAAATTTTCATTTTAATGTAACAAAAGGGAAACGTTATTAAATATACATTAAGGCTGATTTATTTGTGCTCCTGTCCTAACTTTCAAGAGTGTGCCACTGCATGCCATTCAAAGAGTAAAAATCAAAGGTGGTATTCAGTAGTTCAGAGAACTGGCAAACAGGCTGGCCCCGCCCCCACTACCTCCCATCTTCCCAGCTGATCTTTTTTTGTTGCCATGAACAGGAGAACGGAGCTGGAAAGCAGGTTAGTGGGGTGGGGAGGGAATGGGGATTTTGTAGTAACCTTTCCCCAGGTGTGGGGAAGGAATTGGTATCCTTCCCCTGCCACGCCCACAAAGCCATGCCCACAGAACCTGTAGTAAAAACAAATTGAATTCTGCCACTGGTAAGAATGGCTTGATCTGGGGAAAAAGTGCTGGAATTCTCTGTACTGAAAAAGTTGCACTTTGTCTACCTATTGATTGAATTTTTTGGGTGTGAGCTTTTTTATATTGAAATCTCTTCAGGAAATGTTTGTTGAGTTTTTGTTATGTAAGTCATGGCAGAGAATGCTCTCTGTAGACAGTTTTGGCTTTGGAGGTCCCTATCTTAGCAGTCCTTAGCAGAATTATGAAAATCATTTGCATCTCTTGGACTAGGCCCTCTTTTTTATTTTATTTTATTTTTTTATTTTAATTGAACAAAATTGAACAAAAACACAAAAAAAGAACCAATACATTTCATTACATCTTGTAGAAAGCGTGTCGATTGGTTACAGATAACTTTCGTGCATTTCTTCCACAGTCATTA